GAAATGAGACGGGTTGTATGATGCTATGAATATTTGGTTTTCTGCTTGATCGACTGGTAGTTAGTTGTCAGTATTAGTAGATGTTTGGACTAAAACATTTCTAATATCATTGTTTTTTTGTTTTGTCGTAAATTGTAAGTTTTTGTGTTAAAAGGTTTATGATGTTGATGTTGTTGTTGACGTCTATTGTAGGGAATATGTCAACAATGTAATATATTAGGTTGATGTTGTTTTTTGAACAGTTGTGTGTTAGTATTTCTCTTCAAACTTTTGAAAAAAAAAAAAAAAAACAATTTCTGGTGTGTGGCTAAAGATGTTAGAAATAGTTGAAGTAGGGAGAGTGTTCGTGATCCGGTTTAATTATGAAAGGATGGTTCTACTCACAGAATTCTGAAAGTAGAACCATCCTTTACATTTTAAGATAATGGTGTTTTGTTCGATCAGTATTTTCTTCATAATTGTGCGCATTCATTCTCCCAGTTTTGCAGTGAATGTCGTACTGTCCGTCGACGTTGATAGTTATAAGATTGTTGGTCAAATAAATATTTGTTTGGTGATAATTCTAATTTGTATGTCTTTGATGTTGGTAATTACGTCTGTTGACATTTTTATGTATGTGTTAATTTTGTAAGTTTTCATATTTGGCTGGTAAAAAAAATAATAATGTAATAGAATTTAAAATAGTTACAAAGCTTTAATCAACATCAGAAAAATATAATTATTTGGTGTAAATTAAAAGATTAACTGTTATAAATTTTTCCAATATCATTTAATAGTATTTCCCATCGTAATGATGAATAAAATAGCAAACTAAGAATTTAGGAACGTAGAATCATTTTGGAAATGCAAAACATCTTAGAGACTAACGATTTTATTTTTATCACAATAGAAATTTAATTAATTTAATTCAATTATTATTATGGTGAATTCTTTGTTCATTTTGTGCAAATTAAATATGAATAGAATTTACGCTATCTATGATAAATACTTTTTATATAGATATAGTTTTTGTTCTTCTATACTATATCCTTGTTATTTATTAATATGATTATACATGCTACATTATCAAACAACTTGTACGTTCAAAAGTTAGTAAAAGGTTAAATTATTAATGTTAAAGAACAAATATTTTATAAAAATATTAATTATTTACAAACATCTAAGAAAAATATTAATTAGTTTTGTTTGTTTTGTATTTCTACGATTTGTTATATAGAAACATTTAATTGAAACTTCCTTTTTTGAACGATTAATATTTTTTAAAATAAAAAATATATTAATACAGTTAAATGTACGTAATAATCTGCGATGCAAACACAATTAATAAAATGTGATGAAGTGCTTGTATTAAGTAGTTTGACAAAGTTCCAGTAAGTACAACTTGTTTTATTGACTTAGCCGTCTGGTGTGCTCGTCAGACATTCCAGATGTTAATTTACGGAGATCAAAGTGAATCTCCTTCAACGAACCGGTGTATTTATTATTTTAAATAAATCACAAGATGTTTAAAGCAGTAAAGAATAATTGGAGGAAAGGTTAAAAACGTTCAGTGATACAATATAAATGATAATTGCCAGTTTGATCAATCCGCCGTTTTAAAGAACACTACTATATGTTTATCCAAGAAAATAAGATAACCGTTATATTTGTCCCGATAAGTATTGAATTTATTGGATATTAACATATATATATATATATATATATATATATGATGTAACGCAATTACGTATAGTGTTTCCAGTCGCTATAAATTCGGCTGAACCTTGCTCCCCTCTTTTCTACGAAGCGGCCACTTGGCGGTGTGAGAGTTTAAGCTTGTGATGTATGGACTTTTAAACAACTTTTTCCCCTTTGCCGGCCGGCAAATACTCATTTTTTCCAATACACCGATAGCAATTTATGTTTGGTGTAGTTCAACAAACACATTCTCGGAGGGACGAATGAAGGAGATCTCGTTTTCACCAGGAAATGAATATTAATGATTCACACGTGTACATTTTTTTGTAAATTAGGTTTCTTGATACGGTGTAAACTTTTGATTTCTTTCAAATTATACATCGGACAAATATTAACAAATTGTGTACGCAGAAATGAAGACTTAATATTAAACAATTATCCAAATTATATTCTAATTCTAATTACTTTCATATTAATATAACCGTGCTTATTAAAATTAGAAAATAATAGGAAAAGGTAACTATTTTCTGCTTTCTCCAATAAGTCAAAACCTTCAATATAATTAGGTTTGTTTAGGGATATTGTTTATTTATAATTATTCTCTCAGTAAAGCAAGCAATATAAGATAATTTCTGCCTAAAATGCCTCTTTTTAACCAAGTTCTTTTTAACCAAGTCAAATAAAAAAATGTTATTTCTTGCGTCGATATTTTGCCATCGATACTAGTTTTTTTAATGGACCGCCACTAAGGCCGAGTGATAATTCATTATTTGCTACTCTAGCAGATCTGGATTCGAATCCCAGCATAGTCCATGTAACTCTGATTGTTAATAATATTTATTCATTTATTACATAGTTCTAACAGGGACGCAGAACAATCAAAATATAATAATATCAATAAAAACATTAGGTGAAAACCGTTAAAAACAAGTTTACTTAGTTTTACTTTTTGTACGTAGTCTATTGATTTTATGTTTTTTGTATTGTTGAGTGAGTGATCGTGATTGTTTTCTATAAGATGAGTCATGTAGTTATATTTAGCATCATTGTCCCTCAATGTTTTTATGTTTGGTGAGGTTCAACAAACACATTCTTGGAGCGGAGAATAAAGGAGATCTCGTTTCATCATGAAATGAATATATGAATATTAATGATTCACACGTGTACATTTTTACAATAACAAATTGTGTACGCACAAAAAAAGATTTAATTTTAATCAATTATCCAAATTATATTATAATTCTAATAACTTTCATAACCGGCCTTATTAAAATTAGAAAATAATAGCAAAAGGTAACTATTTTCTCCTTTCTCCAATACGTCAAAACCCTTAATATAATTAGGTTTATTTTGGTACATTGTTTATTCATAATTATTCACTCGATAAAGCAAGGAATATAAGATAATTTCTGTTTAAAATACCTGTTTTAATCAGGAGCTATTCAGTCATATAAAAAATCGATTTTTCTCGCGTCGATATTTTGCCATCGATAATAGTTTTTTTTTAAATAGACCGCCACCAAGGCCGAGTGATAACTCATTATTTGCTACTCTAGTAGATCTGGATTCGAAGTTTATTTAGTTTTACTTTTTGTACGTAGTCTATTGATTTCGTTTATTTGAATTGTTGAGTGATCATGATTGTTTTCTATATAAGATGCGTCATATAGTTACTTTTACCATCATTGTCCCTCAATGTTTTTTATGTTTGGTGAGGTTCAACGAACACATTCTCGGAGAGGTGAATGAAGGAGATCTCATTTCACACGAAATGAATATATGAATATTAATGATTCACACATGTACATTTTTTTAAATAGGGCTTCTAGGTACAGTGTAAACTTTTGATTTATTTTAAATTATACATATTGGACAAATATTAACATATTGTGTACGCACAAATAAAGACTTATTTTTTTACAATTATCCAAATTATATTTTAATTCTAATAACTTTCATACTAATATATCCTTGTTTATTAAAATTAAAAAATAATAGCAAAATGTAACTATTTTCTGCTTTCTCCAATAAGCCCAAACCCTTAATATAATTAGGTTGTTTTGGTACATTGTTTATTCATAATTATTTTCTTGATAAAGCAAACAATATAAAGTAATTTATGCCAAAATGCCTCTTTTTAACCAGGAGCTACACAGTATAATAAAAAAAAACAAAAAAACAATTTTTCTCGCGTCGATATTTAGCCATCGATAATAGTTTTTTTTCTTTTTTTTTAATGGAACGCTACCACGGTCGAGTAATAACTCATTATTTGCTACTCTAGCGGATCTAGATTCGAATCCCAGCATAGCTCATGTGACTCTGATTGGTAATAATATTTATTCATTTATTACATAGTTCTAACAGAGACGCAGCCCCGAAACAGAACAGGCAAAATATAATAACATCAATAAAAACATTAGGTGAAAACCGTTAAAAACAAGTTAACAAGCATGACCAAATTGAAAACATACAAATGAAGGGAAATCAAAAATTACAATTCACAGCGGATCAATGCACGACACATTCAAAATACGGGTAATTCTATAAACACGTATCGTGGGTGTGAAAAACTAATACACCAAAAATGTCGTAATTATATTAAAGTTAATAAAAATTAAGTTATGTCTATCCATTTTAAAAGGATTGAGTAATAAAAAAGAAAAACATAATCTTTTTCTGAAAGGTATTGGTTGAAATGAAAAAGGTAGTGTGACGAGCGGGATTCGAACCCACGACCTTCGGCTATGTTCAACCAATACCTTTCATAAAAAGATTAATTAATTGAAAGAAGTTATTTGGTCAATCAGACCACGAAATGTAATTGATTTAATAAGTAAAACGAAGTATATCTTCACGAAAGCTCTCCGTGACTATTTCATGTGTCGCCGAGAATCGGATCCTGATTATACGACATTTGAAAATTGGTAAAAAGGAAAGAAAATTCGAAAGGTAGGTTGTGATGGGGAGTTGGTGTCCGAGTTATTACTGTAGCTCAAGTGGTTAGTGCAGCGGCGAAGGTCGTCGGTTCGAATCCCACTCGTGATTTTGAGCCTTTTCATTTCAACCAATACAATTCATAAAAAGATTAATTAAGTGAAAGTAGGATATGATATTAAATTGATTATTAATTATGTACATTCGAATTCGTTAATTTTTATAAAATGTTAAAATATTAATATGCTGGTAATGTTTTTGTAATACCAAAAGTTCTTTCCATTTTACTCTGGGCTCTCTTAACATGAGAGCTATTCAGCCCACCACTTGGCAGACGTTTTTATCGATGCAAATGTTGTTTTAATGATCGTTTTTACGGTTTTCAGGATCTAGTTGCGATGTGAAGCTGAGCAGCGAGGTGACAATTAACGGGAGCATCACATCGCCAGGATTTCCAGGACATTATCCTCCGGGTACTTCCTGCCAGTACGAATTCACAGCGACTGGGAGGCAAAGAGTTCAGTTGGTATTCACTGATTTTTCCCTTTTCATGCCAGCGCAACAGCCTAAAGAGTGAGTATAATCTCGTTTGCAAAATGATAGTAATAACATAATGATAATACGTTAGTCGATGTTAAGGGAATACTCAATCATTATTGTTGAAAAATCTCGTAAAAATTTGACCGTTGAATAAATTGTCAGAAAATAGGACCGTTTAAGTAAACAAGACTAAAGACCAGATTCCCGTGCATTGGCAACTTTTATTTGCAAAATTTGAATAATACTGGAAATAATATTATTTTGATGGTACTCTCACTTTGCCGTCACCACCACGTTGAGCCTATTACTTCTCCTAGTGCACTGGCAATTCCAGGTTTTGTAATTTACGATAAATTACCGTCAGGTTTTGTGAATCACCTACCTCGGCGTGGAAGAACGGGTTCAGACCTCGGTGATTTCCTTCCAGCCATCGGTGTTGGGCAATCAGGTCCTAGATCCAAACCCATTCACTCTCTCATCAATCATTTTCTTATTTGTATACCATTCACTAATTTAGGGTGGTGGAGTACTCTTGGTTTGATATTCCTACATCACCCTTTACACCTATTATATAACAAATCTAATTGAAAGTCGACGGGTACTAAATATTCTGTACTAAACATACACGCTAATAAATATATTTACTCTCAACACCCCCTGAGGCACAGAAAAATATCACGAACATACGGATTAAAACAAACCTCTTTCTTCGAAGAATTGGAATGTTAGAGTAATATTCAATAAAAGCAAGGAAAATTTTACTGTGTTCAATTGAAATATAACGGAAAGAATTCTTTAATTGCAATTTCGATTGTTTCACAAAGAAGTAAATGTTTAGCCAAAAATGTATAGTACGGTAGCGCATATAATTAAAAGAGAAATACTAACGTTAATAATACTAGGTAGTAATTCATAAATGCAAATTAAATTATCATTATAAATAATTTCGAATTTTCCATGCCTTATTTTGTAATATTATTATTTTCACATAAATGAATTTCGTGTGTAATATATTGCATCGCTTAAATTTCGATGCTAGCGTGTGTAATATATTTTAGCTCAGATTTAACAAATAGCATTCTTTGTTCCTTTTCCCACCGGCAATAACTCACACACACGCATTACTTTTTAAACGTATTTCATAAATACGTCGCTTTTGCAATGTCACGTAAATGCAATTTGTACACGTTCTATTAATTTTTATTAAAACTTGTTTTCAAGTAGAGTTTTTAAAACGAAGGGTTAGTCATATCTTTACATGAAATAACATGTATGATTGTGCTGACAAACATTTAAATCATTGTTACTTTGTTGTTACTTGTTACTTTCTTCTATATAAATACCAGTAAAGGAAGCTCGATTGACTTTTTATTGGATCGTTTTCCTTACTTAAACAAGTGCTTTGACCAGCATTGCTGCAAGGTTCTGAGAGAGCAGCTTTTGCTGGGCTCCTTCCTAAACCGGGACTTTCGCTATCGGGTACGATCCTAAGATGTCCTAGTACTAGTTGAATAATCTAGCAACTATAACCCTAACATGAACGTAGTAGACGCCTTACCGAGGCAGGGATGACACTGCGAACGGTATTTGACTTTCCAACTACGCCCTAGGTACTTCCGGTATAGGTACAGGTCCGTTGTGTCAACCGACTCGGCTATTCTACCATACCTTTACAGAACTAAAAATAAGTTCTTTGAACGTGTTGTAATAGTGTGGCGTTTTCCGGAAAGGTGTACTTTTCGTTGGTCGCTCCACCGCACTGGAGGTTTTATACGGCGGAAATTTATGGGATTTGGAATGCGCGTCGGGTATTCTCGAAAACGATGGCTCTGTGTACTCTTGGTGGTAACCCGCAAAATGTGGATAACTGATTCGGAACATGGACAAATTGGTCTGGATGAAAACTAAGAAGCGGACGAGACGCCTATGGCCGGGAGTCCCAACCTTTGGGCTTCACTACCTCGATCCGGCCTCGTGACGCTAAAAATGCAATAAAAGAAATTGGCAGCGATAGCGAGCTGAACCAGCAGAGAAGTTTTTAAGCATCAAAAACACTGACGATATCTAGAGACCTGGTTTTGGCACTTGCCCACCGGAAGCTCGGATTCGTAGAGGAATGGTTATCCTCACCTAATTAAGAATAATCCATGCGAGGCGGCATTAGGCAAGGGCGTCCTTACCTTCGGGCCTAACCCCAGCAATCTGACCTATTGATACTAAAATTGCAATAAAATAAAAAATATAATTCAAAGAAAGTGGCAGCGTCGGTGGAACGCCGTAAGAGACCCATTTCAGACAAACGGACATTAATTTTGGGACAAACCCTCTAGTTTCTTACTATTGTTTAAGATATTTAAGAAATTTAGATCATGGTAAATTAATCTAAGGGTGTATCGTAATTTAGTGAACGGCGGCTTTGATATTTTAATGTGTTTATTTATTAAGTAAAACGAGTTTTAATTTTTAAATGATCCAAATCTTTTCATATAAATCGAATATTGTTAGAAATAAGTATAATTCATTAAATTCTACTACAGTGTTATAATTTTGCCAATATTTACTCAATCATTTCGTTCATTGGATAGTGAGGAAAGGTCTGGTCTAGTCTGGTCGGTAAAATGCCAGGAAATAATTGCAACTAGTCTTCCGAAAAAGGAGATTTTCTGGTTATTATCTTTCAAAGGTTATTGAACTATGGCAAATATAATTGGAAGAGTTGTTGCAAGAATGGACGAAGTTGTTACACGGAGTGAAAGCATTTTGAAAATAAACGTTTCAAGAGTGCCAGCTATTTTTTCCATCTGTACGGGGTAATCCGACAAAGGGTCAATTTTGAGAGATTGTTTCTTCTTTTCAGCTGCGAAGGGGTGGATTCAGTTGTCGCCTACGTCGTCCTGGACGGGAGGGTGGAGAAGATCGACAGCTATTGCGGTGTAACCGTCCCCAGGCCGATCATGTCAAACGGTCCAAGGCTTCTCATCCACTTTATAGGCGTGCACTCTTCCCGTCACGCACGAGGGTTCAGAGCCAAATATCTCTTCACGGCCAGTAAGTGCATAATTTAGCGTAATTTTAAAATATTTTAAAGTTCTGATATATGCGGACTAAGACATGAAAAATTAGGTTTTTCTCTGTAAACTGCAAAAAAATGCTATTTTCACGAAAACAGTTAACGATCATTTATCTCCGCTCATTCTTCAATAATATCATGTTAAATTAAAAAAACAAAACAAAAAACAAGAGGATGAGAACAATTACAAAAAAATATTTGGAGAGGCTACTGACGTGGGATCACTGATTTCAATTAAAATTGGCTTGGTTATACTAGATTCAGAAATATAATAATACACCATATATTATATCAGTCAATTTGTTGTTTATGATTATTTGGAGGTCATGAGAGGCGGTCTGGTGTGACGTAGGTTTTAGAATAATATTTTATTTATCGTGCCAACGTTTCGAACTTTATTGAAATCATCTTCAGGGCTCAGAGTATTTGTTTTCGGTGTAGATGTGTCATTCTTGTATATCGTGTTGCATTCGGCACTCTCAACACGAAAGACAAGAATGAGACATCTACACCGAAAACAAATACTTTGAGCCCTGAAGATGATTTCAATAAAGTTCGAAACGTTGGCACGATAAAGAAAATATTATTCAAAAACCTACGTCACACCAGACCGCATCTCACGACGTCCATATAATCATCAATTAACGGTCACTTAACACTACTCATTTGTTGTTTATGTTGTACAGGAAAATAGGATTCCAGATGGTTTCAAATTATTTTAGAACTGCCAATCATGGTACCCAATTTTATTGATGTGTAAATGTATTACGATCTCATTAAATTTTACCCTATACCGTCATAATTTTAGATCTTAGATATTGCAAAAAATTATTATTATTCGTGGTATTTTGAAACAATTTAGAAAAAAACTGGATTAGTTGGGCAGTTCCATCCATTGGGAAAGATGTAGGATTGAGCATGCGAAACCAAGCGTTTTATTCTAGAGGTTTTAATGATGGTAATGCTAATTTCTGATTCTGAATCACTCGAAAATTTAAGCCCCATTTCGAATGTAATAAATTTTGGAGAATAAGCCACAATTAAGATCCTTAAAGATAACGGCTTTACCGGCAATCGGAAATCAGTTTTATTGAATGAAAACACAATGATTCCGTTTTACACAATGGCTGAATTTTCAGAAATTAAGTTGCCTTTTTAGATCCTTGACGCCTCACTATTTGACTATGCCCTTTTTTTTTTTTTATCAAAAAAGCATATTGAAAACTTAGAGAATATGATTTTACAACGCAACATGTTTGTCATTCCTTGTTCTGAACCTAGTTTTGACGTCGTTGCAGATGGCAAACTTGTGTTTATTTCATAGTTTAAAAAAATGTTTTAAAAAACCATTCATCCTTATTTATGAATAATAATCCACAGCATCGTTTGCTTATCAATCCTATCTCTGTTTATAACCCTAACATCGTGCATTCTTACTGTTATTTCTTTTAATATCGAAGAACACTTTCTGAAAGAATGCAGATTAAAAATTATGTGGTCCATTAAAAACAATATAACAATATATATATATATATATATATATATATATATATATATATATATATATAAAACAAATATCCTCTTCAAAGATCTCTCAACGGCATTCGACACACAGTTGTCCATAAAATGTTAATTTGAAAACTTAAAGCAGTAGGTGTCTTCTATTATCTTGGTTTTCAAACTATTGGGTTGTCCGGAAAATAATGCAGGATTTTGGTATTAAACAAAAAAAAAGAAACTAGTTACTTTAAAGCAATGTTCTTTAATCAAAATAATTTCCCATACTCTCAATACATTTCTCCCAACGTGTTGGTAACTTATTAATTCCGTCTGAGTAGAATTCAGAATTTTTAGAATTGATAAAGTCAATAAATGCATTTTCCAGTTCCGTTTGATTTTTGAATATTATGTGTTGTAAGTAGTGGTCCAGGTGTCTAAAAAAATGGTAGTCAGTAGGCGAGAGGTCCGGAGAGTAGGGTGGGTGAGGCAAAGTTTCATAGCCAAGCTCCAATAATTTTTGTGACGTTACACGTGACACATGTGGTCGAGCGTTGTCATGCAACAAAATGGGCCCTTTCCGATTGACCAAAGAGGGCTTCATTACTGCCAATTTCTGATGCATGGTATTAATTTGGTTACAGTATGATTCAGCATTGATGGTTTCGCCAGGATTTAAGAAGCTGTAGTGTATTAAACCAAATGAAGCCCACCATACCGTAACCATTACCTTTTTTTGATGAGTTGGGGGCTTTGGAAAATGTATTGGAGCTTCTCCTTTGTCGAGCCACTGTCCAGAACGTCTAGTGTTATCGTAGAGAATCCACTTTTCGTCACATGTAACAATTCTGGCCAGAAATGGGTCATTTTTGTTTCGACAAAGAAGTGATGCACAAACATCAAAGCGCTGATTTTTTGGCGATCGTTTAATGAGTGTGGAACCCAATTTTCGAGTTTTTTCACTTTTCCAATCGCCTTGAGGTGGTCAGCGACGGTCGTTTTACTGACTTTGAGTTGCTCTGCAAGTTCTCGAACAGTTGTTTTGGGGTTTTCTTCCACCACTGATCGCAGAACATCATCATTAAGAGAGGAAGGCCTTCCACGACCTTCTTCATCTTCAAGGCTGAAATCTCCCTCCCGAAATTTTTTAAACCACCTTTGCACAGTGCACTCATTAACACAACCCTCGCCCCAGACTTGGTTAATGTTTCTAGCCGTTTGGGCTCCGCTTCGGCCGAGTTTAAACTCGTAAAAGAAAATCGTACGAAATTCTCGCTTTGACATTATAAGGATGACTGAATTATTTCCAAGTAGCGGAATGCTACAGAGGTAAACAAACAATATCATTTGGAAGAGGATTAATAAGTGTTGACATTCATACAAATGAGTAATCCTGTAAACGTAAACAGAATATTTTATATAGATTTTTTTTAATGAAAACTTAAAATCCTGCATTATTTTCCGGACAACCCGATATTTGTCACATCGAAACAAAGCAGTAAAAATAGGAGAATACCGTTCTGAGCCTATCTTCCGGTGTTCCACAAGTTGCTCGTCACTCCCCACCATTGCTCAATATTTTTATTAACTTCTGTTGACGACCTAAAAATATTAAGAACAATTAATTCTAATGAGGATTGCCGACTGCTTCAAGCTCACTTAAATTCACTTCATCTACGGCGCATTGAAAACAATTTATACTAAATTTTATTTTATTTTTTATTTTTTATCCCAACCAAAACCTAACATAAGGATTAATTAATTGAAAAGAATTTATTTGGTCAAGCGGACCACGAAACGTAATAAATAAGTTCCTATAGATCTAATTCTTGCATCACTTACAATTAGAACATAAACAGCTCCTATTTGTCCTCAAAAATCATCACAAATGATATTAGTGTAACCTTCAATTACACAATAGAGTTTAATACATATATTGATAAAATAAAATCCCCAAGTTTAAAAGCGCTAGGCTTTTATTTCACAATATTCAAAAGATTTAGAAGTAAATTCCATGGCATTATATTCTTCTACGGTGATATCTTCACTTGAATATTGTTCTACAGTCTCGAATCCGTGCACTGCTAATCCAAATCAGAAACTTCAGAGAGTACAAAATAAATTTTTAAGAATGGTTGTAATTAAGCTAGGAATAAACTTTCCCGATTATAACCAGTTTCAATTACAGTTATACTTAATCCCCCTAAAAACACGCAGATTACCCTTCGACTTACTAACCCTTTTTAAAATTATTAATTCATACATTGACTGTCCTCAACTTCTAAGTAATATTTACTTCTCCACTACTCCTTATCAGCTCTGTTAGCATAAGACCTTCTATATTCCAAGCCAAAATATTAACTGTGGCAAAACTCGCCGCTAGATAGAATGATGTTCTCCGCAAATGGCATCCCTCACTTACAATTATTTAATTCTTCTATTCTTAAATATTATTGTAAATAACACCATATTGTGTGGAAACATTGTAATGATTATTGGTATAAATTACAATTAATTAAGGTTTTCAGTTGAAATAAAAAAGTCAATGGGACGAGCGGGATTCGAACACACGATCTTCGGCTACATACGCCGCTGCTCTCCCACTTGATCTATCGTGACCTCGATCCATTCGGACACCAACTTCCCATCTCAACCACACCTTTTTGAATTTGCCCTCCTTTTTGTCATCTTTCAAGTGGTAGAGCAGCGGCGTATCAAACCGAAGATCGTGAGTTCGACTCCCGCTCGTGCCATTGACTTTTTTGTCTCAACTGAAAACCTTAATTAATCGTAAGATGCTGATTGGTCAAGCGGACCACGAAAATAATGAATTTAATTGGTATAAATGTTGATAGCATGATGAGTTCTTTTCATTTGTTAATTACTTGTAATACATTCATTAATTTTTGTACAAAAGTTCTAACCGTATGTAAATAACGATTTTATGTGCTTGTAGAAAAATGATTAAAATAGTCAAATTCTTTGGCATTAGGCGTTTCTGACCATTTTCTTTGGCCCATTATTTGCAGTATTTTAAGTTTCCAGTATGGATGACCAAGCTACACGTTTCAACTCCGCCAACCTAAAACGAAATTTTACAAAAACAAAATAATTGTTACGAAACGTACTGATCATGGTGATGTCGTTCTGGAGAATTTATACTGAACCATGTACATAACTATTTTGTGTTGGAGTTAAATAGGAAAAAAAAGTTTTTGATCACATCTGTCGTAGCTAGTACTTCGTCGAACGTTTGAAAAAAAATACTTTTATGAATGCAAAGAAATTTTAATTACTATTATAAAATATTAACTATTTTCTCACGAAATATGGCGTAAAGGTAAAACACGTTTCGTTACATCAAAATCCGCAAGTATGCGTCTGATGTCAACATTTTTGGCTTTGTCATCGGCTTTCGAAATTAGATTTCTTCGTTACTTGCAGTATAATTTGGAGCCAATTGTGGGCGATAGTCTTAGAT